ATCTTTCCCACTTTCCTTCCGCAGTTTTCCTTCTGACAGCAAATTGTTAATCATGTTCTCCTGAAATCCTTGCTTTCATTTAGTAGATTCGGAATTTCTCATAAATTTTAGGAATTTAAATGCGTTTACAGAAATTTCTGGCCAACCAAAGGCAGAAGTTGCCTCTACGCCTTAATTTATAAAGGTAACTTACGTTCTGTGTAATTAATAAACCATGCTGGCCCAAATATCTGAAACCCTCTACTGTGATAACATTCGAATCAGTCACTGTTACAGGGACAGTAATATCTTCAATGTAATCTATAGGGATATTGTAGGTATAGGTATATCGTAACAAGTCAACAGTGAAACTAGCAGACCATGTATCTCGTTTGCGGTGCTTAAAAATCTCCGCTCCCATTTTATTCTTTTGACAGAGAACAAATCATTTTTCCTCCTTGGTTTTCACAGAGTTTTCTTTGCACAGAGAAGAAAAATTGCAGAAGTTTTTATAAATTGATGTTGGTTGGTTTTCCGTGTAAAGAAGAAAGTATGAAAGGAAGTCTACAACGTCGCAAACCGAGATACGGGGTCTGGTAATTCCACCGTCCAACTGTATTTTACAGAAATTACATTGTGAGTATGGAGCTGATCACTAGAATTACTATGCATAGATATGTACCTAGGATAAGGGTGGTTGCAACAGTATTTGTCATGAATGGTCCATGACACCTGCAGAAAAGATCGGTGGTTCCTGAGTGATGATAAGAGGACTCGTAGGTTTCGTTGAAACGCATGATTCTCATATGTATCTGTAGAGGTATAGAGTTTTGGCCTGCTGAGGAGTTGAGTAAATTAGGAGCCATTGCTCATAAGCTGATAAAGTTAGGAGGAAACACGATGAAACTGTAGAACTTTTGATACTTTGAGAATGTAAACAAAGACTCAACCTCAAAAATCTTTCACAATAATATTGTGTACTCAATTTCCAAAAACTCTATGGTTCATGAATTTTTTAATCAAAGGTAAGTAAAAGTTCTCCAACTGGCTGAGAGATGGCCGTAGTGATCATTCGACGAAATTCTCTCTGCCATTTTACCTATTCATGGAATCAAGTAAATGTAGGTCCCCGTTTATTAGACGATGCGACGCATGAAAAAATGCCAGGCGAAAGCAGTATCTTTTGTTATTGTAAGTCATAAAATCAGGTTGTAGGTAAGAAAACTTCCTCACACATGGAGGTGATGTAACTTTCAACCTCATCTCCTACATAGTCTGGTGGAACACTTATTATCGTCTTACGGTAAGTAATGGAGAAACCTTGTTTTATCGTCTCAAAGCGAGTCCTTAAGGAAGGTTATTTACCCTCTTTACTGAAAAGTAGACAACAGGCCAGTTGAAATTTTGCTCTCATTGAGCGTTCAAATGTCTGTGTTAGGTCTGCGGAGATAACACATAAGGTGTCTTGCAATGAATCTGACGGAACCAAATTCACCAGAGAGTGAATGAGTAAATGAGTCATGAAACCTAGAATTTTTAGTACAAATAAGAGGCTAACACATACCTTTGTTATGGAGCAATGTGAGAGGTAGAATGTAGCGGTTTCAGAGTAGAGTGTTATAAGGAAGATTTATGAAACTGTCGGTGCCGCAAAAAATCTTAGACTTTGAAAGTACACAATTTTCTGCTACTTCAGATATCTCAGATTTTTTGACACCTAGTTAAACTCAATAATTAGAAGTTGTGAACTGACAGGGATGTGATGACGACATCGCTTTGAGAATAACAGATATTCTATGATCAAGGATACACTCGAGCGGTCCTTTTCATAATTTGCAGCGATGAGGTGGTGACAATTACGAAGGTACAAATCCCTGCGCTTGAGCTGCGCAAAATGCTCCAGTCGTTTATCTATGCTATTCAGCATAAAAATGCAAACCGTGTTGTAATTGGTGCTTGAGAACAACTGTGGTACACTAGTATAATGAAGCATTTTGCATGTATCGCAAATGGCAGATCTCCTACCTGACATACTTTAATTAACCCAAAAACACTAAAACAGTCTCTGAGGTAGCATGATAATTGGTCAAATAATTTCACAGCATTATACTTCAGAAACTTTCACAAACTTCACGAGGTGGGCAGAACGAGTCTGAAGACAAGACACGACATACGTTGAATAATTCCAAAATATTATGCTTCAAATTTCAGACAATTTCACAATCTTAAATTTCACAACACAATCTTAAACGAGGCGGATGGATTATGGAATTAATTATGGATGGAGGGAGATGGACGAAATATGAAAACACAAAGGAGTAAGCGAGACGCGAGAAGCAAATACGGGAGAGTAGTGTCATCTGAATCTGAATCGCGGCTATGTACCTACAGAAAATGAACATTGATCTTATTAAGCCAGAAGAGGGCCAAAGACGCCAAAACTCATGAACCAATCAGAGAAGGGCAAAAGGATGGCAATACTCTCCAGTACCTAGGTCAAAGACACATAACCTAGATGTAGGCGAATTCTACTAAGGTCTCCGAATAAGGTTATCACCGGTGGAAAAGTTTTCGGAAAACAGAACGCGAATCTTGAACTTTCAGAAGTAATTATAGGATAACTATAAACCGCATAGCAAAGAGAGTTTTAGGACTGTTATTTATTTCTTACGCTAATTTGCATTTAATCGTATTCACAGAGGCATAATGAGGTAATCAAAAAAAAAAAAAGTAAAAATGGCGTTTCGTGCATCGATGAGTTGGTGCGCCATTTGATCGCTTGAGCGCCCTACTATACTAGAGCTCTAGTGGCAAATCGAAATCAAAAAGCGCCGCCTATCGGCTGAGCGCTTAAAAATCGAAAGGTAAACATTTTGTGTCAGATGGGAAACATCGGCAGGAGTCTGATCTCCACATCATTAATATAAAAGTGGAAGGATTCCGTTCAGCCTCTAATTATTCCACGATTCCCTTCGGGTGACCAGAATGGCTATTATTCTTAAATACATTTTAACGCCAATTTGGCTGGCTTTCGTAGAACATGGTGAAATGATTGAAAAAATAATCAAGCCACGAGCCAAAAATAAACTAAACAAATAATATTTCAAACTAAATAGAGATGAGAAAAAGTTAATTCCTGGAAGATGTTTATTATTTCTCATCTCTATGTAGTGTGAAATATTATTTGTTTAATATTATTTTCGGCTTGTAGCTCGATTATTTTTTCAATCATTTTACCATTATTCTTAAATACGTTTAACGATCCTTATTAGTGATAATGTGCTCCATCGAAGAGTAAACAAGCAAACTCCTTTTGCACGAGTTCAGTTGGAGTGCATGCAGGAGATTTTTAAAGATTATTTTCGGTTTGTAGCTCGATTATTCTTCAATCATTTTACCATTATTCTTAAATACTTTTAACAATCCTTATTAGCGAAAATGTGCTCCATCTAAGAGTAAACAAGCAAACTCCTTTCGCACGAGTTCAGCTGGAGTCCATGCAGGAGATTTTTAAAGAGATAGCGTTCTGGCGTAACTGTCGCGCTCGGACATTAGCAGCATGCCGCAACGCCCGTTTAATCATATCACAGATACACCCTGGAAATAAAAGTCCGTCCCTCGGTGCTGAGGTAGCATGCACGTTTGATGCTTCAAAACGACCCGAGCTCTAACAATTACAGTTTCGCAAGCATGGGTGCTTTGTTCCATTTTTTTTTCAGATGCACAACCTGATCAGGGTAAAAAGTCGTGGTGGTTGAGCGGGCATAGAATGTCCATCCCCATCGTTCCATGCTCCATAATGCCAAAGTTACCTCGCAAAGACTCATTTTTTTCTTGTAACTTGCCCTCAGAGAACACTGAAAAAAAATTCTCGGCGTTTTTACCAAGGTCTGTTGGTACCTTTACCATCTCACTTTTTCACCTATTATTGGTAATTTTACTAAGACAGACTGGTAAGCTTACCTAAAAACCGGTATTTTTACTGTTTTTTCAGGTAAGTATACCACTTTTAATGGTTATCAATTCCTGGTACTTTGCCATTTTATCTCGGTAATTCTACCACAGTCGATAAAAAATATTGGCGTTTTTACCAAGGTCCCGTAAAATAACCGAAAAGGTTCAATAATTTTACCGAGATTTCTCGGTAAAATTACCAATTCCATAAATGATAATTTTACCAAGAAAAAACTGGGATCAAATAGAACCCCGAATTCTTGGTAATTTTACCTTTCTTTTGGTAAATAAACCGAGAATTTTTTTTCAGTGAAGCAAGTCACATGTGGAAGCTTTAAAGCTCCCGGAGGAACAAATGGAAATCATTACTCAGATTTTCCGCCAATTTCATTAGCATGACCGTTGTGATGACAAAAAGCGTTCGTTGCGTCGTTTGTTGTACAATATTTGACATGTTTGAATGAAACTATGTGCGTCGAAGCATGTTTCGCCAGCACTGGAAACCAGTATGGTGTACTCTACCACGAGTTCGGTAAATTCTACCGATCTCTACTTGATTTTATTTAGACAAAATAATACATATGAATCAGTGGGAACAAAAACACACCGACTCGAAAAAATGAAAATAATTAAGGCACACTCAAAACTGCACAGAAGGTGAAGAAATTAGTCTGAGAAAAATATTTTTGGTGCCAAAAGACAAGTACTTCAGGGCACTTCAAAGGTCAAGGTTGGAGCAGATGCGCTAACTCCAATGACCTTTATGAAAATTAACTATGTCTAAAATGACAATGGAGCATTTTCAAGTTGCCGAGTTCGTGTGTTTTCGTTCTTACTGATTCATATACTGTTAGGTGAAGGGAACAAAAGTTTGAAGTATTTTGAGTCTAATATCAATAGAGGATGCAAGTTTAAAGCCTGGACCAAAGTACTCACTAAATTATGGCCTTATCTTTAGTTCATAACTCCCGGTGTTTGTAATTTTTGAGCAGTGTAAATCTCTGATTTGTGCATTCCTTAATTTGACCATTTTGTCTTAATTAGTATTAATTTTTACGTGTCAATAGATGCTCCAGTAGCAGAGGAAGTTAAGAAGTGGACAGCCAAGCTATCTGAAAATGCGAATCAAGTTGTTGGCTCTACCACTGCTCGTCTAGAGGGCACCACTGGCCTCTGTTCTTGTGCTGAATGCAACCTCGGAAATCTCATTGCAGACGCCTATGTAGAATATGTAAGTTCTTTCATGTAGTAATACTCTCGTGAAAAATCCGCAGACAGTTCGGGTTATTGAATACCTATGAAACAAGTATTTTAACTACGGTTCGTTCCTCCGATTTCTACAATTTACTTTTGACTTGAGGTGTCAACGCATAGAAACGTGCAAGTTTTCAGTTTACACACTTATTTTCTAATACAGTGAAAGCACAACATTTTGGCCCAAATAATATAACAGGATGGTAGAGTAGAGATGGTTTCATATCCTGAGGAAACACAAAGCCATGATCAAGTTCAGTCTTCTCATTTAAAAGATCTTCTTCATATCTGCCGATTCAATTAACCAGTCGGGTCAGTACTCTTTAAATCGAAATGCTTAAAGGTTGATAGCAGGACGCTGTAGAAGGATTGATTAAGTTTTGATATGCTGATTATTGTTGATATAATTATCAATGTTCAGTTTTTGAGTTTTCAAAAAAGAGAGACATTTTTTTATTGAATACTTTCTTCGGTGCAAAAATGTCGTCTGATTCCATTTTTTTTTTCTCTCAATCGGCCGGAAATAAAATATTTGCAGATTCTAAGTATCCAATGAGAAGTCTGCGATAAGTTTGCGTGTCTATTTTCCAGATTTTCTATAAATATTTTCTGAATAATTATACAAAATATCTCATTTCACAACACATCATGTTTACTGCATGAAATTGAGATTCTGGAATATGCCTCGTGACACTTCGACTCTCACCCTGTCTCGGTCCACTGTGTACATTTGATACCTCCATAAATTAGCCCGGAGGCGAGAAATGGCTGCGTGAAAGGAGGATTAACTGACTCGGAGTTCACGCCGCACAATGGATCGAGTTATTGCGAGAAGTCGTACACATAATTTTGGAACTTTTCAAACTCATAACCTCATCAATACAAAACGGGGCAGTGATTTCATTGATATTCTCGTGATATTTACCCCTAGAGGCATCCCTTAACTTGTAAAATGTGACGAAAGAAGCATTAGCATTCGCGGTTTTAGGAAAAAAATCCATGTCCACTTTCTCGGAAACCCTTGCTTCTCTGTGCGTCGCGCCCGTCGATCGGATAGGTCGAACAGCTTCTGGCGGCAAAATGCCTCGTAAATTAATTATAGAAATTCCCGAGCCGCATCTTTACGACATTCCCTCCCCTACAGCTACTACCCCGCTATGTTGGGAATCCTAACCATCCCTTAAATAAGCTTCCCGCGCACCCCTGCAAGTGCGTTACCGTTGGCATTATGTTGTATCAAAGGAATGACATTGACCTCATTTGAGCCAATAATTCATGATTTCATACCTGACTTGATCGTCAAATTGTCAGGGCAAAGATGGCTCTGGGACAGAGGATGTAGCTATTTTGCCTTGACTGTTCCACGGGTTGCATATTCAAAATAATGTAGGAGGACGCCTTGTCGTGCCAGTATCTGGATGTACACGTTGCTCCGGTAAACAAGGCATAAAAGGGATTTCTCCATTTCTGTCATGTTCTAGCTTTAGCAAATCAGCCTTGCAGAGTGCAGACTCACTCATATTTTGTATTTGAAAAATCCAGTTTTAAAATTAATATTATTATCTGGTAGATTGATTTGGTATGAGCTACCCTTTCGAGAGAGAATAATAATTACTCGACCCTCCAATTTGAGATTATTTACAGGATTTACGAGTAAAGTCCCCTCTCATAAAAATTTAACAATTGTTTGATATTCTGATTGGAGAGACTTTGAAAACCGTATCAGATAGTAATTTTCTTTTTCAGTCATAGCCCGAACCATAGACTCAAGTTTACGCCCAATTCATTTGTATTTTCACTGCGTTTATAGCGGAAAATATTTTTTGGAACTTGCATGGACTTGTTGTGCAAACCATGATACGTGGGTGATTTTTAATCATATTAAACAAATTTTAAGTACAAATAATAATGATTTCGTTGCAACTGTTGATTGAGTGAGAGAGAACGTCATGAATTAAATGTACTTTAATTCATTTGCTTTGGTTTAAATACTCATTGACACGCACGCTACGCTACGTTTTTCTCGGAAAAAAGTATAAATCATTGCGTTTCTGCAAAACTGTTCATTGTTTGAAGTTATAATTGACTTGGAATTCCGACTTAAATTGAATCTTCTGTGTGAATTCCATCTTTCCGGAATGAGACCAGCCTCAACCATCATCACAAATTAAAAGATCCGAGAAACTCTTTGTGCTGAAATGAATTCTAAGAATTACTTATTTTTATATCGCGCAACAAGCAATGAATTGTCATTAAATATGATTCTTAAGCAAAAATCAAAGCATTGGTTTCATTCTACATAAAGAGCAAAATAAAGGACAAAAACTTTGACCCAATAAGAATACAAATTGAAAATAAAACAAGTTGGATTTTGCAATCGCTAGCGATGGCAATATTCGTCATGGGAACGTTAGCTTCTGGGATATGAAAATGTTAAGGTACAGTTCGTTTGTAGTATCTTCTGAATTGAAGGGGCTATGTAATATTGTGTTGACATCTCTTTTTTAACATTTTTAATTATTTTCTTTGCATACAAGAAAGCTGTTATGTACCAATTATTTATTTTCGTTGGATTATATATGGTTTTAGGAAGTTAACGCATTTAAGTTTCAGGTTCGCTTTTTCGGCGTAAAGTATACATAAGGTATCCCAAAAAACTTGTTCTGTAACTTCGAAAGTAAGATAGATACAGACATGATCTTGATCTCATTTTAAAGATCAACTCAATACTCATCGATTAAAACCAAAATCAGCTCAATCGGATAAAAATTGACCGAGTTATGGCAATTTGAAATCAGCGAGGAAAGTTTACGCCTACGGTTTTTAAGGAAGATTCTTCATCGCCGTAAATCGAAAAGTCGGCCGATAAAGTGATGCTTATTGTGTTTTTTTATTTTCGAGGTGTCATTTATCAACATTTTGTACCATCAAACACAATAGTTGACAGTGCGTATTATTGCAAAGTATACTAAAGGAGTTGAGAATGCACATTTCCCGGAAACGGTCGGACTTGAAAGCTTCGTGGATACTCCATCAAGACAATGCGCGGCCTCACACATCGAGCTTAACACGTGAATTTATGAGTAAAAATGGAGTTGAAACAATCCCTCATCCCCCTTATAGCCCTGACTTGGCTTCATGTGATTTTTGGATGTTTCCTACGCTTAAAAAGGAGCTTCGCGGACGAAGATTCGTATCGAAGACCGAAATCCAGAATGCAATTCAAAACTTTTTCAACTCCATCCCAGAGGAAGAATTCAGGAAAACAATGTTGGATAAGTGGCAAGAGCGCATGAAAAAGTGCATCCGGTTTGATGGACGGTACTTTGAAAAGCAAAAGGAAGTTATGGAAGATTCGGAGGAAAGTGGATACGAATATTTACTTTTTGAATCCTGGTAAGCGAAAAATCTTCCTAAAAACCGTAGGGGTAAACTTTCCTCACTAATTTCAAATTGTCATAACTCGATCAATTTTTATTCGATTGAGCTGATCTTGGTTTTAATCGATAGGTATTGAGTTGATCTTTAAAATAAAACCAAAATCATGTCTGTATCTATCTTACTTTTGAAGTTACAGAACCAGTCCCGGTACTTTTGGGACACCCTACGTATGATATTTTTACTCTACACATATGCCCGAATACGCATCGTAAGGGACCTATGTGCTTCCTAAGTTGCCAAGTATTAATTATTGTTGGATGATTGGTCTAAAACATTCAATACAACCAGTAAAAATTAGGTGTCCCCTACGAGATTCGAACCCCCGCTCGCACAAAATGTGACGCTCTCCCAGAATCAGAACAGTGGCGTAGCTAACTGAGCTATCTCACCGCTCGGATGATGGTAGAGAAAAAGAGAACAGTTAAGTGATCTCGGACGCTGAGCGGGGCTTCACAAAAGACGTCCTTGAGATTTCAACAGTTCGGCCACTGGCGTCCTAAGAGACAACGGATTAACCGTATTACTCTGTGAGACATTGTTTACCTATGCTGTCATATGTCACAAGGTTCATCACACCATGCATTTGCGATCGCGGCAGTAAGCTGAGGCAATATTTCTGTATTCATGGATTAAATCCATCAATCGAGTTCTGATTTTGGCTCATATATCCGTAACGGGTCCTCCAGAGCAATTTTCCACCTTGTACGATGGTTATTATTTCTTTATATCTATGTTTAAAATTTGAGGTGGGATAATGGCGGCTTCTCAAGAGCAACGAGGTAGGCGATCTTTTGCACCAACGAACAGAAAACTGATGGCGAAAAATAGCCAATGAAAACCTCCCAAAAAAAAGAATTTGCCTAAAAACGGAACTTCGTGGTTCTGCGCAGATTTACCAGTCAGACACGACATCTCAAAGTGGAAAAAAACTCGCTGAAAGCGAATTTTAGAAATCAACACAACTTGACGTAGAGACATGATTGGCTAAAAAATACAACGGTTTTTGATACATCGGAAAATCTACCAAAAATCGGAGACTGGGCGAAACGCTCAAGGTCGCAGAGGTATAGGGAATCCCATAGCGAAAGCAACGGAACGATTGTAATATCATGGGGAACTCCGTTCCCATGACAATAAATGGATAAATAAAACGCGGAAAACGAGGCCGGATTAAAAAGTAATATCATCGGATTGTCTTGTTCATTCTCAAGCGGACAGAAATACCAAAATTTCAAAAATATGAGAATAAAAAAAAACAAATTGTACGGCCAGAGATCAAAGGAACTACTTGGTAATCCCTTGCACACGTTCTTCATGTCTGCACTTGGAATTTTTGTCCTTCGACATTGATAGAGTGATATTCCTTAACGTTGTCGTTGTTAAACTGAGAATTGTTTGAGGTTATTATCGTGATTTGGAATTCAGACTTAAATTCAAATTACAAAAAGAAGATGATTGAAGAAAAAATTATTGATGTACCCCGGGTGTCTGATTTTTTTGAAAGGTAGTTAGGTTGTAAGTTTTTTTGAATTGGGCCGAAATTTTGTACAAATTCAAAATATAGAAAGAGGATGACGAAGAAAGAAGTAGGAAAAATTATTGATGTACCCTCTAAAATTTTCAATTCTAAAATATCAGCACTAAGAAAGCACACAAAAAATAATAATAATAATAATAAAAAAATTGTTTCATTTTACAGCTAAACAAAATTTCGACATGAAAAGGCCCATTTTATATCGAATTATAACCCGTGAAAGGTTTTCATTTTCGTTTTTTTATTTGTTTTATTCATTATTTTATTTTATTTTATTTTTGACGGAGGAAATTCGTTGAAAATCGTCCGATTTGAAATTAAATTCCCTATCCGTGACTACCGGAGAGCGATTTCCTATCGAAACAGGAACCTGCAAAAGGCGATTTGTTAAAGGCCCTCCAAGAGACGACCCTAATAACTTCTCGATGAAACCTCTCGATTTTCACGCTCCAGCGCTCAACCTCACTCACTCTATTCCGAGAAGACGCATCTCCTTATTAACTGCTTGTGGCATTTGCATCCTCGGAGGATAAAACAGTGACCGCGTACGAAGTTCAAGTTGTTCCGCGGTCGATAAACGGACGTACTTATTCTAAAAGGAACTATGTTGCACGCAAAACCCACGCACATAGTTCCTTTTAGCATGAATACACCCAAATATGGACGTATTTCTATCAAACGGAACTATGTGCATTACGAAGTGAGCCCTGTTATGCATATATTCTTGTGGGTCTCAGGGCTCATGTCTTAATGCACACAGTTCCGTTTGACAGAAATACGTCCATATCATTCCTGGACTTCGGACATTCCAGTTTTTGAAAGTATGGAACTGGTGCAAACTTAAAGTGTTTCCGCTCGCCGCAGCCACAATAAGCACGATACGCCGAGTCTGAAAGAGTCGAAATGATCGCGTTTCAAAAATTCATGAGCTCCCGGCCCGATACGTCAACGAGGACCCTGGGGACCGTGTATTTTTGGCGCTTGCATCCTTGCTCGACTCCGCGCCTCGAAATTGAGCTCGGGATCGTCCCGCACCGCATCAAAGGGCCGCGCCGACGTTTGGAGGGAAGCCCCAGATATTAAATTACTCACTTGGCTTTGACTCGCCCCGAGGCCGACTTGCTGTAATGAAAACTCATTTCCTAATTAAATCACTCCTTCCTCTGATCGGGACCGTTTATTGACCGACCCCCCCCCCCCCCCCCCCCCCCCCCCCCCCCCCCCCCCCCCCCCCCCCCCCCCCCCCNCCCGCCACTTCGCGGGAATTTTCGGGCGACCCGATTGCCTCGTCAATGGAGTCGTAGGATTACGTGGTATTTAAAATACTCTAAAAAACTGAAATGAGATTGTACTATTGGCAGATTTTCCTGAAACGCCGAAAAAAAGGGTGCTGTCTGAACATTCTGGATGAGAGAAGTGTGCGACAACTCACAAAACGCTGAGATAATCGCCACAGCAGGTAACTTTACATCTTGACATTGATGTAGCAACTGCTGTGGAACACAGCGTTTTGTGAGTTGTCGCACACTTTTCTCATCCAGAATGTTCAGACAGCATCCTTTTTTTTCGGTGAAGAGGTGAGTATTAGGATATTCTCGGCATAAACCTGTTGGAAACTTCAGCTGGAGGAAAAAGAAACTTCGTTTCTCCGGAATACTTGCTGCTCAATAGAAAATCGCTCAAAAATCACTATAAGCGCATCGGTAAAGTCTGAGGTACACTCCTAATTTAACTGACTGCGTAAGATATATGCGTTTTTTCAAGCTTCCCGCTTCAAGAACGAAACTAAGGCACAGCTGAACATTCCATGAGAGGAGTCGCTCCATCCAACCCCTGCGCAATAGGATGCAATGCGATATTCAACATGGCTGACGTTTCCGCGCGCAAATCGTGAGGAAACACCATGCGGTCTTTCTCAACGCAAGAAAATTGTAAATCTGCCGCACAGTAGATCAAGTTAATTAGGGAGGTCGGGCATGAAATTTTAGATTAAAACTGCCAATTTTGATATTTATTTCGTCACATTTCTAATTAAAAGGGGTGCTTCTGCAAGAAAATTTCACGAGACAACCAATAGAACCACTTTCAGAACTTCAAAGTTTTGTATGAACGGAGTTATGAGCGTTTAAAGTTTCCAAATTTTGTCCGACTTCTCCTGTTGACTCGATCCACAGTGCGCCGCACAATGGATCGAGTCAATTGAGAGGGTCGGACAACATTTGGAAACTTTAAAAGCTCATAACTCCGTTCGTACAAAACTTCGAAGTTCTGAAAGTGGTTCAATGGACCACTAGACAAGGTACGAATTTCAGCATTCTGATACATGTTTCTGAACCAAAATTTTACGTAAAACACGATGCACACAACGAAAATGACTGAAATTAACTCCTTACGAAGATATTTAATGATTCTTAATGCGTGAATTGAAACCACCCGCTCATGAAAACTCGATGCTCTACGTGATTCACATCGCGCGCTAAACGTTATCATGACAGTCTCTGCGATATAAAAATCTGGCAACCTCAATCTTGACGCTTTGGCTCAGTTATAGCAAATTGCTAATAGTTTGAACAACACATGATGGGAAATGAACATTGCTCGATTGAGAAGTTTGCTGAAACCGTTGTAGTGGGCGATTTGACTCACGTAGAGTTTTGAGTTTCTTGTGAGCGGGCAGTTCAAATTCCTCGTAACCAATGTGAAATAAAAACGTTAATTTCTTCGTTAGGAGTTGGTTTCCGTAATTTTCGTTGTGTGAATCGTTTTCTACGTGAAATTCTGGTTAAGAAGCATGTATCAGATCGCTTAAATTCGTACCTTGTCTAGTGGTCCATTGGTTGTCTCGTGAAATTTTCTTCTTGAAACGCCCCTTGAAACTTAAAATTCGATGAAATCGACATCAAAATTTGCAGTTTTAGTCAACAATTTCATGTCCGACCTCTCCTATTGACTCGATCCACAGTGCGCCGGTTGATAAAGCCCCGTCTCGTCATGTGAGTTTTGGCGAGTTGTCGTCGGCCATTAGAATATTGCGCAGCAATCCTAGTAGGCAAGGGCTAGATGGAACGACTCATCCTCCGAAATTTTCACCTGTGCCGTGGTATCGTTTTTGAAACGGGAAGCTTGAAAAAACGCATACCTGATTGTAACGTTAGGAGTTTATTTCAAAGTTTCCGATGCGCTTATCGTGATTTTTGAACAATTTTTAAAGGAATGACTCTTCTTTTGCTCTAGCTGAAGTTTGCAACAGGTCTATTGTGAAGTTTTACAGGTGGTAGATATTTGAAACTGCTTCATGATTTCTCTTCCATGTGTGTTACCAACTTGGCAAGCATTTGCAAAGAATTCAATATGAATTAGGAAAGGAGGGAGATAGGGGGAGAGAGATAAAAATTTGCCAATGCACAGTTTCGAAAATTTTGGAATAAGGCTTGCAGGTGTATTGAATTCATCCACGATATAAATCTTTTAGATTCAAGCAACAATTTTGGTCTACGCATTGGCGGAAAGCTCTACCAACTTTTCCCGGTGTATTATCGATGTAAGGTGTGGAATGATTTATTGTTTGGCAAGGTGAAATTTCAGAAAGCGATCTCGAGACACTTGAAAGGTGGTTGCGTGACTCAAGCTCAATATCATCACAAACTGCTACTCTTCACACGCTACGAGTATCCTCTCCCGCTTATCTAATTTTTAGAACAACAATTCAAAAACGCTCAGATTTTCCTGAGACGGTTAATTAATTTCACTTGTTCCTAGGAGCCAAGTGAGATTGCATGCTAACCTTACAAAAACGGATTTCACGACAGTGGTATTAAGCTATGGTGATAAAAATCTCGCACGTTGCATGTTACATCATTAATATCGCCGGTGAAACTACCAGACCACGTATATCGTTCGCGATGTTTAAAAATATCCGCTCCTATTATATTTTTTTTGAGGGACAACAACTCAAAAGCCTTTCTTGAAAATTTCGAGCTCTGAAGACGCGCCTTGATGACGGCGCAGCGATACAACTATTCGTGCTCGATGGATGTTCGAGCTGCATCCGAGAAATTGAAGGCGCGATGGCACGAGGTGCGATGTTACAATGCTCCGCTCTATGCTATGCCCCTGATGAGGTGTCGCTGTGATCCGGGAGAAAAGTTGAAAAACGAGACCCGCATATGTCTCTCCTATCTTTGGCCGTGTTTACACTCGATTTCCCCTCCTTTTTTATCAATTTGATGTAGGTCCGATTCGGTTTTAGGTTGTAATTGTAGACTTACTTCTAAAACTTGTATGTATTGGTCCCGGGTCCCATGCAGTGGCGTGGCGTGAATGATCGATTATCGATATTTCCTCATTTGAAAGTATGCTGAAGAATCGGTTATTAAGGTGTTCGTTGCGAACACCCTGTATATCGATCTTTTTCCATAGGTTTAAATGGCAGATCAATCGATATATCGCGAAACACGCCACGCCACTGGTCCCATGCAACTCGAGGGCGACGTGTTTTTAGAAAACCTGGGGCCAATTTGACGCGGGTTGCGAGCAAATTAGGGTTACATATATTGGACTTCGGGAATTGAACTTCATTGTTATATTTGAGTGATTTAAACCTAAGAGAAAACTCATAATTTTACTGTACACAGTGTTTTCTCGATGAAATTATTTTAGAAAGATGAGTATGCTTACCAATAACTGAGAAAAATTAGGTCGAGTGAATCTTTATTCCCAAGCTACTGCCTCTGCACAAACGCATTCCTAAATAACAAAAAAACCAGAAAAATCGAATTAGGTTCATTAAAGACTCAATATTAACACCTGTCTAAAATCCTATTAGTTAACTAGCTTCCTCATGAAAACCAATAAAAGCAACGAAGCAATGAAATGTTCCCTCGCAGATTGCATTTTTACCTGAACAATCTTCGGAATCCATAACTGAACATTTCGCTGATTTTTCTTCTGATCTCATGCAAAAATCAGAGGGATTTTAGAAAAAATCAGAGAGATTTTAGAAAAAATCTTACAATTACGATCTCGTTGGAAATTAAATTTTTTGAGTCAATTTTGCAACCTTAGAAGGGAGCTACGTTTCTTCGTCCGGAGAACAACAAATTGCCCAACACGCCGGCCATCAGTTATTCTCAGGCGAATATACGGTTAACTTCCGAACATAGCAAGGTGGAGAAATGGTGCTGGATCCACACCATTTCGCGGGGAACATATAACTCCCACACTCAATGAGAGATAGCGGTACAGGGTTTCCGAAATAAATCGTCTTGATCATCACGATTAAAGCTCGATTCCACGTTATCATGGAAAATCCTCAATTCGGGCTATTATAACTCAATATTTATAACAGATAGAATGCAAGACCTCCTATCGTTTTGCAATCCGTGTTTCATTGAACTCGGTCGGGAGAAATAAATGGCAGTATGTGAAGAGCTAAAAGCGTCAACTTAAGGCGAGCATAGGTTGAATGGAATTTCCACTGATATACGAGGGTGAATTCGCGGAAATTCGTTTAACGAGGGCCCGGGCTCCTCAACACGCTCCATTTTGAAACAGCCGCACAGTGGATCGAGTCGATAGGAGAGTTCGGACGAAATTTGGACATTTTAACAACGTTTATACAGAATTTTAAGGTTCTAAAAGTGGCTCCATTGGTTTCATCGAAAAATTTTCTATTGTAAACACCCCTTGAAATTTAAAGTGTGACGAAATAAACAAAAAAAAATTGTGGTTCTCGTCAATAATTGTACGTCCGATCTTTTTGATTGACTCGATCCACTGTGCGTGGGTACGACCGCGGTAAGTTTTAAAATCTCGGGCCTTACAACCCCGAACAAGGAACAAGTGGGTATTATTTCCCATCTCCAGCCGGGTTTCGCAATGGCGTGCAGAGGCGCTGATACATTATTGGAAAGTTAAATTTAACTCGGATACTCGCATACTCGTTTCCCCGGAGCGGGTCGCTCCGCAGGACCGGTCAGCGTTGCTCATAAGCGGATATGATTTCCCCGCAGGGACTCCGCCGACCCAACGTTGCCAGATTCAACACAAAAATCCCGGTGAAAAAGGTCGGTGAGCAAAACATTCAATACCTAATTTAAAAAAATGAAGTTACGATTCCAGTCCCCTTCAAAAATAAAACACGCCCTCAAATTCCTCTCGACCCCCTCCTCAATTTCCTCTTGCACCAATACCCAACTGAGCTCAGATTTTTGAATCAAATTAAATTCGCGGAAACACCAATTTCTTACCATCCTGTGATCTTAAACGTGATTTGAGCCATATTTTGTGTCAGGTCGACATAATATTTAGCGCATCGACTATAGTTCCATGTTTTTGGCTGCTTGTCATTTTCTTTGGATTTTGAAATCGCAATCTGCTGCCACGAAACTAAAGAATTCACGGACAAAATTTTGAAAAAAATCTTTAAACAAATCCAAAGAAACAAGACAGGATGGCACCACTGAAACGCCTATTGCTATTTATATCGGGTTATCCTGCTGCGGGTTTGAACTGGAGTTTACATGAATATGCAGAGATTTATGGAAAGATACGAACGGGTCGGTGAAAAAAGACCCGAGGCTAAACGGAGGTACTGCGTTTCATCATGAACAACGGTTGAAATATTTCCATCCCTCGGAAAGAAGATGTTTCCGAAAATGAATCAAATATCGTGCACGTGTAATTAAAAATTTACAAAATAATGTTTGAGCCTCCTAGATAGAAAATGCCTGTTGAGAAAAACATTCGTGAATGCACAAAAGAGATCAGCTCTCAAACAAAAAATTCTACCAGACAGGTTTTTCAACCGGAAATTCGAATCAAGTAAATAAAAAAGAATCCATCGAAAAGAAAACCCTTAAATAACCGTTTTATTGCACAAAAAATTTTTAGAAAGAGTAAAAAAAGGTCATAAGTATAATTAAGAATCTCCAACAATTCGGCACATGTTAGACCAAGAGATGATGGAAAGAGGTTGATAGAAAGATGCATGCACGCAAAGCAGCGAAAATATTTTATCCGTACGTATTCACGCTGCAACTAGGGGTCAATTTTTCTCGAGTAATTCAGTGCCGGTAACAGGAACGGTAAAGTTTCCGAAAACATTCTAGCGAACGTTCCTGGAAGCTCCTCACAGTGTGCGTGAGTTCCGTGCTTGTGTATGTTCATGTGCGTCTGAACTTCTCACAAGGTATTCCGGACAAGTAAATTTTAGTCTGGAACCCCGTTTAAAACCCTAAATGTAAAAAGAGTATAAATTTAATATCGTCGATTACAATGAGCAATTTTTTCCGTGCAAGATATCCCTCTTTAAAACTAGCAACTGTGCTTAGAACCTAGGATTCGAACCATGACCAAGAATTTAATGGGTCTGAGTGAAAAACTGCACGATAAGTGGCGGCTCAGCGCCCAGCACCCTTGGAACGATTTTATTCCACAACTTAAATCGAAAATCCCCTTGCAGTTATACCACCCGTCCATCCTTTTCCCTGCACCCATCTCATAAACGCGCATCCATTTAACCATCCTTTTATTCGCCTCTTATTGACTCAAGTACGGTCCCGCTGTTCAGATGACCTGAAAACCGTGAAAAAAGATTCCATGCCACTTATTTCATTCCTAGTCGCGTTGAATAATTTGTTACATAGTTATATGTTATATGTGAGATTATAAGCTCTAGTAAACTTTAAAATGTTCTTGTTTTCCAAAGCATAATCGATCTCAGAGAATTGAAATAAAATGTAATCTAATATACTGAGTTCACAGTTTGATATTTATTTCAAATGTCAATCTCCTTAACCAATATTGTTGTTATTCACGCTTAATTTTGTTTTCAGTATGCAACAAAGTACCGACATTTGATACCACCTGAGCACTGGACGGATGCCCCCATCAGTTTCTGTCAAGCCGGCTCTGTGCGTGCCACAATTGATGGATTCTACTCTTCTGGTAATTATCTACTAAAAAAAAAAAAAAAAAAAAAAAAAAAAAAAAAAAACTTTTGTCATTAACATTGGGTGCTCACGTTCATATCATCCTTCCGGGTGTATGTAAAGGCTGAGAAAGATTTTATATAAACGGATGTTAAAATTACTCTGTGTCATCTCCGAAAAATCATAATAGAATTCAGTTCTCCCCTGTAATATTAGGGAAACAATATAGTTTAAAACCCTCTAGCGAAGAGCTGATTTTGAGAAAGTGGCAAAATTGACCTTATGGACGATTTTAAGGGAATATTCTGGGGACAATTAATTCTGAGTCAGCGCAAGGCGCGGGGCGATAACTATTTTAACTCGGCGGAAGTGTTCTTGCATACCCGAGCAATTGAAGGCGCGCTGAGCGATGACGGCATTTAAGCCTAGATATCGCTACTTTCTTATAATAAGTATTGAGCAAATGACAACGAAAGTATCCAATAACTAGGGACGCGCCCCCTGACTGCTTCGCGCCTCAGGCATTATTTGTTACGCGCTACTCTCATAATTTTTTTTCATATTACATACGATAAGATACGCATGCACAAAAACTGACGGATAAATGTAATTATTTTTTTTGCTACATTTCCGCTGTGGCGGAAATGTAAATTCAAAATTCGGCTATGTGGGTGACATTTAAAATTAAAAATAGTCAATATATTGTTAGAATAAACTGCATGGTTTTTTTGCAGTCTTCCGTGCTTTCCAACTTTCTTTTCGCAGACTCGAACATGCATCGCGTTAAGAGCTTGCTCACCGAGCTAAGCGTGTTAATCAATCACTTTAATACCAAGCAGAGTATTATACACAGTGGCGTGGCGTGCTTTGCGATCTATCGATAATTTCCCATTTGAAGCTGTGGTAAATAATCGATTATTAAAGTGTTCGCTGCGAACACCCGGTTAATCGATACGTTTCCATAAGTTTAAATGGTCGATCGATCGATACATCGCAAAGCACGCCACGCCACTGGTATTACACCGTTGCTCATGACGATCATTTGATAGCTTACATGGTTTAGTTTGCACAAGTTTAGATGTTTCCCAAACGATAAATCAATTGTAATTATGAGTTTTCGATCAATTGAAACGATCATTTTTTCTCGCGGAGCTTTTGGATTTCTATTAGCACATTTTCTGAACAGAATATCGACGGATCTCTGTAGAATTATGTGGCTGGTTGAAGTGAAGTTATTAATGCTCCTTTTAAAAATTGTCTCGCGGTTGAAAGGCGTTGAAATAAATGAATAAAATAAGACTCGAGGAAAAAAGAAGAAGTGCGCTGGTGGTAGGGAGTGTCATCAAACTATTCAGTAAGGAAGAAAATAGGGTGGAAATAAAGGAGCGAGAAATAAACCGGTGAAATAAAGTGGTGCGTAGGTAACTGCGGAAAACTCTCAACAGGTTGTTGTGACTGTCACGCAATAACCCACACAAACCGAGCGCAACTTCCAGGTCGCTGCAAAATGACGTATTCTGTCCTCCTCTTTCGACAGAAAACATTTATTTTCACTCAAGGTGGCATCGCAATTGGGCGTATTTCTACTAACCGGAACCAGAGACGTATGAGGAAGATGATGTGCGCTCGTGGTGAGCAGCATATCGACGGTGTAAGTTGGCAATCACATAACTCGTTTGCGGTGTCTGAAAATTTCCGCCTCTCTGTTATTTTTTTGAAGGAGAACAAATTGACATCATTCCTTGAAGATTATGCAGAATTTTCTTCGCACAGAGAAGAAAAACTACGGCAGTTTTACAGAATTGCTGTTGAGTAGTTTTCCGTTTACAAAATAATGTATGACTGGAAGTCTGCGACGTCGCAAACCGAGTTATGTGATTGCCGACTTACACCGTCGATATGTAAAAGTGGTAAAAGAGTTCTGTAAAGTTTAAGGGAAAAAGTGTTAAAAAAAACTCTTAAAATATCACTGTAGTTTTTTTGACATTTTTCCCCCCAAACATTTTTAGCGTTGAAAAACTACAGTTGATATTTTGAGAGATTTTTATCATTTTTACGACTTTAATTTTACTGTTCAGACATTTTATTTAAAGGTTTTAACAGTATTTCAAGAGTTGTCGCCTTAAAATTTAAGAGTGCTTTCAAAGTTTCTTAAATTGTCGTTGCCTTTAGGGGTATTCTCTAAAATAAATTATCCCTGCGGCTGCCAATTAGAGAAGAATCATTTATATTCCGCTCTCATCTCTTTCCGGACAGAATCAACGCTCTTCCACACGTTCCGTGTTTATTACACCTTCGAAAAATTTGACAAGGCAGCGGGACGACAGTGTTGAGGAGGCCTCTAGAAGGTTGCACGGCCCTGGCCTTTTTTTTATGATCGCCCGCGTAATCCCTGACTTTCCCAGCCGTCAAGCTCAACACTAAACCTGCACTTGAGTAGGAGTTTATTCACGGACCAATCGCCCGGTTCTCCGACGAAACTTCCTCACAACTTCCGCAGTCACTATTCTCTAAGAGCGATCCCCACCACTCCGCTCCATGAGGTTCTCGCATTTGGATAGTCAGTCATGCTCGCAACCCACACCGATAAAATAAGATGGAGTCAGATAACATGAAGGGTTAGGTGGACAAGATGCATAAGGGCAGTTTTTGAAAAAAATTGAGTTATTATGATTTCAGGTAAAACAAGTCTGAATGCATATTTTGTGGGAAATTTGCTCCCAAATTCCACTTTCTAAAGGTCAAAAAGTCAGTTTGAACAATCTTTCTGCCATGAGGATCCATGTAGTTTCGAGACTTGACACACGTATTTCTCAAAATAGCAAAAACTGCACGTATGCGCCCCTCAAATGATTGTTAACTCCTTCAGGGGCGCTCTGGGGAAAGTGTAATTTTTTTTTTTTTTTTTTTTTTTTTTTTTTTTTTTTTTTTAGATGTTAGTATTTTTGGGTTTAGATGCGACTATTGAGCCTATATACAAATTGTTTCTTGAATATTTTGTAATGGCATAGAAGAAATTAATATATAAAGAGGGTGGTTAGTATCAATGGCCACTGCCCGGTAAGGGACATAACATTATCAGTAAGATTTGTAATTTTTCTCTTTCCTCTAATATTTTATACCCCTCATCTCCGTAATGATTTAGTGATCCTTGAATCATCTTATTTTCCTGTTCTTTTTTGAAATATTCAATTTATTCACTTACTTCATATTCACTCATGTTTTTACTTAATCTAATTGTATGGCGTTTCTTGTTCCCTAGGCAATATTACTTACGGCGATGTGCTGACTGTGATGCCATTCAAAAACAAATTAATCAAAACAACCATTACGGGTGCTCAATTGCTCAAAACGTTAGAATTTTCCGTTGCTCCACTGGATGCGTCGTGTTCAAACAAACATTCAAAAAGTGCATTTCTGCAAGTCTCTGGTAATTCACGTTTGTTTTTTTTTTTAAATTCAAATCATTCAGTTTTACAGGGCGTAAAATAGTAAGTAGTCAGGTTACAGCGCTGGCTCCATAATCAGGAGGTCATGGATTCGATTCTCGGTTGGGCGACCCGAGTTTGATGGTCTCAATCAACGGTTGCTTCGGGCTGATTGTATAGTAGAGATGAAGAGGGGCAACGGGGCATCCAACTGAAAGGGGAGAGAAACAAATCTGCAGAGCTAATTGGACCGCGTTTAACAGAAAGGAACCAAGCCACATCAGCTATTGCCAAATTTAACTGGGCAATTTAATTTTTTACAAGAAAACGGTGGTGTGGATATTCTTTTGTAAATTTTAAGGGATTTACTTCGTACTATGGAGAAAATCCACTGAAATTTGCACGAAAATCCGCACAACCGTTTTCATGTAAAAAACCAAATTTCCCGATTAAATTTGGCAAAAGCTGATGTGGCTTGGTTTCTATCTGTTTAATGCGGTCCAATTTGGGATAAAAACTGCAGAAACCCCAATCAGATCTCTAGAAAATGCGGTTTGCTTGTATTGGATTGCTTAAAATTAGGCAAAAGTAAATTCTCCCGGATCTTTTCAACTTGCAAACAGTGATCCCCATACTTTTATCGGAAAATAAACGGCTGAATCTTTCTTATGTTTTCCTAGGTATTCATGTCACATTTGATATGTCTAAGCCACCAAATTCGCGAGTAGTGGAAGCAAGAGTCCGTTGCGGACACTGCATGGTGCCAAAATATTTACCTTTGGACAAAAACGCTACGTACGGCGTTATCATGACCGACTATATTTTCATGGGTGGTGACAATTACAGCTTTGACCAAGATGCACCCATAACAACTCTTGGTGAGTAGCACATTAACGGATTATCCAACAGAAGTTAATAATGACTTACATGAATCATTTGCTCAAGTAATTCCAAACGTGCAAGGTCTCATATTGCCATGCTAAGGAAAAACGCCGTATGAGCCTTCAGGCGCTGCCAAATTTCCACTTATAAAACACAAATTTCCTCGAAAACTTATGAATATTTATCTTCCAATTTTTCATGCAGATAATATAATTCGCAATTTCACCTGAAGTTCCTGAAAATTTCAAGGAAAAATATTCATAACTTTTCCCAAATATGAATATTTTATTGGAGGAAATTTGGCAACTCTCGAATGTTCATACGGCGTTCTTCCTTAGCACGGCAGTATAAAGCAATGCTCGTCAACGCAAGGCGCAAGTCGATAACTATTCGATCTCTGCGGTGCGATTTGTACATACCCGGAAAAATGAAGGCGTTCCGGGATGGCGGAGTTCAAAACTTCAAACCTTAATTTCGTCATTATATCGTCATGCGTTCAATAGACGTCACCAAAACAGTAGTTAACTTACCGTCCATTGTAACTGAAATGTATTCGCCTAGTTTTTCCATTTTTTGGTTTAGATTTCACCGAAAAGAGTCGTTTACTTTGTTTATAGATGCCGAATAATTTCATACCCCTAAAATATTTTTGAGCTATCAAAAAATTACAGCTTCTATCGGCCTTACCAATTGAACGATCCAAAAATTCAAAACGAATTATTTTTATGTACTTAAATAGAAATCGCACTCGTTTTGAATTTTATTTATATCATCGATGAATTGGAAAAATGTTAGAAATTCATCAATTTTAATTTCTTATCAAAATTTAAGTTGCTGTGCGTGCCAATTTATTTAAAAAATAACTTTGCTTTGATATTAAAAGGTAGAGGTCACCTCACTTTATCAATACTTGTAAAATATGAGGGCAAAGGAAAAATTAACTCTGATTGTACTTTCAAAAAATTTTCCGGAACAAAATTATTTTATTACTGCAGACAAAAGCGTAAGCATTTACTGAAGAAGGTATTACACATTTGAAAGTTCATTTATTTTAATTCGGAACAAATCCACAATGATTTTCACCACAATTAGATTATTTATGCTAAAAAGAAATCAAGTGACAGTGAATTGACTCTGAAGATATTACGTGCGTAGAATTGGCATGCTTCATGCTCCATAGTTCCGTTTGATTTAGCTCATTTCTACTTAGTTCTTTTCAGGACAAATACATTGAGCCGATTTTATGGGGAAAATGAAATGTCATCCACGAGTCTATTTATACATGCAGATGAACCAAGATAAAATTATTCAGAAATAATCCCGCTTTAAAATATTATTCTAAAATGAATACAATGAAAGGCTGACATAAGTTGTTTTAAAGCACACAAGCCTGGCTTTTGAATTGCACGGGAGGCAGGATGAAATTAATAACACGGATCGCGCCCAGGTAGGAGCGAATCTGACGGTGACTAAAAATATGCACTTTGTCAGGGAAGTTGATTTACATTCATTTAATTGGCCCGTTGAATATTCATCTCCAAACTTCGGAGATTTGCGTGACATCCTCCATCCCCCTCCCCTGCCGCGCGGGAGTGCAAAATTACCTTTTTCATTATACCCCATTTTACATTCGGCCGCCTTCACTTTATACCATTTATGACGGTAAGTGAGCAGCGCGGAGGAAACAATTAAAATAATAGGGCGTGAGAACCGGAGAAGTAGGACGAAATGAACGTATTTATTCTGAAAAGAACTAAGTGAAAGTAAGTAAACATCAAAAGGGACTGTGTGCATAAGATTTTCGTTCGACATAGTTTCTTTTGATTTAATTCGTTTCCATATGATTCCTTTTAGAATAAGTACGTCAAAACGAAGGCGGGTTTTTCGCAAGCGGTAATACCCTGAGTTCTTCTCACTCTAGCCATCTTTTTGTCTCGTGACCGGAGAATTGGGTCAACGCATAAAAAACAAAGATAAAAGAGAAAATCTGGCCGAGGTATTTTAGGAAAAGAATGTAATGAAATCTCCGTATCCAACATCATGAAACATGACACTCGCAAAGGTTTAGCTATCAGATGGAACAAACGCTCTTAACAAATGAAGATTTCAACCCGAGAGTCAAAAAGAAAAGACGACTGAAATTCTTGTCCGAAAACAAGGAGGACAACTGCCATTTACACCGCAGAAAGTGGTGTAGCTGTTGAAGGCTAAAATCAAGCATTTACTCAAATGCCTCGATAAATTAAGTCGGATTTTGAAATTTTGCGAAAAGTTGCAAATTTCGAGATGAATGACATTTACTCAAGTAGGCATTTGGAATCATTAAAGCATATATGTTAATTTTGTTTGTTCCAAAATTTAACAAAGAATCCTTTGTTGCGTTATTTTTTCGAATATCAGCAACTCTTGGCAGTTTTCCCCTTCCCGGTTGAACCTCTTTACATTTCATATCAACTCACTCTCCAATCTTAACCCTATTTCTCCTCTTTTGGCTCAGGAAAGCCACTTTAATAGTTTAATGACCTACCGCTTGGGGCGTGTCTCGGAACGCACTGTCGCAGTTTTGCAAAATAATCTGTTGGTGAACTTTTGTTTAATCTGTCAGGAGCGTTGTGAAGTTTCTGAAAGTGGCAGCTGGCAATTGAATGAATACTTGAAACCCTCGAATATTTGTCTATTCCGCAACGATGGTAGCTACACTTAACGATTCAACGTGAAAACAAGATTAACGAAGCACGTTTTGAATATGCTTACGCTTCGAGGGAAACTTTTAATCGAGAGGAAGCTCAGATTTTAAACCATCCTGATTTTGAGCCTCTGTGCGCGAGATAGATAAAACTACATTGCCACAAACCACAATATATCCTAGATTAATTTTATCCTCTCCGTTCGCAGAATCCATGATAAGTTTCCGCGGAAAATTGCATCGCGTGACCTATAATTAAAATTTCGTACTCAAAAATTGGTTATACAGTGCAATGACGCCATGTCCACCGACCGCAATATTAATGATTACTCAAATTTGAATACCTGATGAAACTAATGTATATCAAATAATCGCGTCGCATCATAATGCATGCCTTTCCTCGATTAGACTACAAGTTTTTCTAAAACCTCTATGCATAGCCGACAAATTATATTCGAGTCACCTGAAATGATAGCATGAGGACGGAATATGAGGAACAATATAGACGAGGGAAAAGTAAAAACGTCACCTATTAAATTCAAGCATGCTCTATGTGCTTAAAAAAAATGACGGTTACAGTGTAAAGAAGATCTGAATACCGGAAAAAAGTCCGACAGATTTTGAAAAGTTTTTTCCCCCAAATTTTGAGGCCCTTAAGAGGCTCTAATTTTATTTTGAACGATATTTTTGAGTGTCAAGCATCCCGCAAACATCTTCTTACCAACACGCGTAAAGTATGGGAAGTAATCCTCATATTATAAATCCAAATAAAATAGGTAATCTCTTGATTCATTCGTTCGAGGAAACACTTTAAAAATCTGCGCACCCAGGGTTTGCAGTTTATCAAAGTGCATGCATGCATTGATTTACGTTTGAAAATGACCGGCGAAGATAAAGCATGTAACAGCTGCTTGCAGCAACATCACGGAAGCCTATGATTTATAACATTACTTTATTAAAATATAAACTACTCACTCACACGCAAGATATAGTCGTTATATTTTGCTCCTGAAAGTAATGGGAAAATTGCAAGAAGCGGCGAGCGTGGAAAGAAAGGGCGTTTAAAATGGCATACTGTTCATATATTACGATGAAAGCATGAGCAAACTTTCAAATGCCTACACCTTACCTTAACATTTGCATGAGCGAATGCTTTTCAGCTTTTGAAAAAAAAGATAGTTTGAAACCCTCTAGCGAAAAGCTGATTTTAAAAAAGTGGCAAAATTGACCTTATGGAAGATTTTAAAGGAATATTCTGGGGATAATTAATTCTGAGTCAGCGCAAGGCGCGAGGCGGTAACTATTTTAACTCGGCGGAGGTGTTCTTGCATACCCGAGCAATTGAAGGCGCGCTGAGCTACGAAGGCATTTAAGCCTAGATATCGCTACTTTCTGAATAAGTATTGAGCAAATGATAACGAAAATATCCAATAACTAGGGACGCGCCCCCTGACTGCTTCGCGGTCCACTTTTTCATAGTACTTCGCGCCTCAGGCAAGGCGTTTAAAATGGCATATTGTTCATAGATTACGATGAAAGTATGAGCAGACTTTCAAATGCCTACACCTTACCTCAACATTTGCATGAGCGAATGATTTTCAGCTTTTGAAAAAAAAACCACGTAAGATGCATTACGTTTTCCTTAACAGTGCTGCCTGAGAGCAGAAATATCACTGTTTAAGCTCAGTTTTTGCCCTACTCTGTTATTTGTGAAAAAAATTTATAAATAGCAAAAAAAATAAACGTAGAAAATAAAGATAAAAGAAACGGTCTGAACAGCTTTAAACGATCAAATTCGAAGGAAAAGGTAGAACAAAGATTAGACCAAAGAGTACAATGTCAAGCGTAATGTAAAACGGCCCGGGACTAGTGAACCCCCTCCCCCTATCGCACGCTCAACGCAGACTAAGATCTATCTCCCCCGAAAGGGTCACGTACTTTATAAGTAGCCCCGTGCGATTTAATTTAACACTTCAGCATGCCCCATTAAGACTTTCGAGTGATTTAGTAATTGGACGTATTTCCATCAAACATAACTATGTGCAGGGGTGAAATATGGGGTGTGCTCTAGAAAGCTGCATAAGAAACAATGTAAAAGAAATACGTCCAATTCTGAGTCAGCGCAAGGCGCGAGGCGATAACTATTTTAACTCGGCGGAGGTGTTCTTGCATACCCGAGCAATTGAAGGCGCGCTGAGCTATGACGGAATTTATGCCTAGATATCGCTACTTTCTGAATAAGTATTGAGCAAATGACAACGAAAATATCCAATAACTAGGGACGCCCTCCCTGACTGCTTCGCGGTCCAC